GAATAGCATGCCGACATGTTTCTCATGGTTTGTGCTCCAGGCCAGGGGATGCTTTACTTTTCTCGCTATATGCTTCAACATTAGCAATCGTGTTTCACAAAAGCACGCTGAAGAGGAGAAAAAATACTATGAGCCTCACCTAGCTTCTTGAAGCTCCGCCGCCTTTGTAGTATTCTGTTGTCTCTGTCTGACGAGACCACTTTGCTGTAAACACATTATTTATTAGTAACAAAAACCTACAAAACATTTGGTCCAACAGGAACGCCTTTCAGATTAAATAAAACTTTATTGAGTCTCGTATCAAGAATTTTAATTGGCGGTGCATTATGAGACTTAGCCAGGTCTGTATGACTATTAGCCTCTTTCAATTTTTCCACTCGTCGTCTAAAATTTGCATCTAACGAATTTTTCTTTTGTAATTTTTTATTATAATGGCTTCGTCGATTACGTGATGGTTGCGCTTGTTGATGTGAATGATGATGGTGATGATTTTGACTCGACACCATGGATGTCTCTAACATTCCGCCATGATGATGTGATGACATGGGACGTGTGTCACTCTGTGGACGATTATGTCTTGATTTATGTACTCGTTTCATTGGACTTGCACCTTTGAGACACGAAATAAAATCATAGGATAATTAGCACAATGTTTCATATTCTACTTACTCGATCTTGTTTTCCGTTTGTGTTTTGGTGATAAATGTTCTGTTTGAGGTAGAGTTTCATCTAACTGAAAGGACGGATTGTCAATACCTTTCGTCTCACTCAATTGTTTTTCTCCTTTACCACGACGACGACTTAGTCTGTGTCTCAATTTTTTCTTAAATGAAATAACAAACATGAAACTGATGTCAAGAAAAAAGTAATTAAATCGTCACTAACCAGTCCTTCATCGATTAATTGAACTTTTGTATTACCACCAGATTCAGCTATCATTTGTTCATTTCTAATCGGTGAACTATTAATAAAGACTTCATCATCCGAGCCAACCACAGAAGCCCCATCTCCTCCTTCCGCTTCATTTTCAACTTTTTCAATTTCACCATCACTATAATCTGGCAATGGCTCATTTTCTTCATCAATTGGCTACAAGAGAAAAAACGAAAATTTTATTGACAAAAACTAGAAATGTAAAATTTAACTATTATTCATCTGCAAACGAGATTTAAGTATTTTATTTCTTTTAATTCAAAATTAGATAATAAACAAGTCTATCTCTTACTTTAATTTGTTGTAACATTTTTACAATATCCATAATATCTTCAATTCGTACACCTTCATGAACATTTGATCTTAATTTCGTTGATGCCAGAATATGTTGAAATGTATTATAGCGATGACATAACATGGCAACAAATTGTATCAGACAAATCATACAAAAACATACGATCAACACCACACCTAAAACAAAGCATACATAGATACATATATCAATGTAGTATCAAATGCTTTTATTTATAACAGAATAATTTCTGATCACTTTTATAAAATTAAGATGTTACACAAATGATATTATTTACCTAACGGTTCAATGCTAACTGGTTGATAATATAATGATGGTATTGGTATTGGTATAAATAACATATCTTTTAAACGATTTTGTGCTAGTAGTACTGAGAATACAAATGCAATCCATAATGCATCTAACATAAAAAATGCAAATACACTTCGATCACGTAAATCATTTAATCCTAATTGTAATTTTTGTTTTTCTAATGCATCTCGATGTTGAGGCATTAAATATTTTTTAATTAATTTTTTCCAAAATAAATGTTCATCATTCGATAAATGAGATAATTCAGCATATTTTAAATGATCATTATCAAACCAATATGGATTTATTTTTTCATCACGTTTTGTAGATTTTCGATTATTAACGATATGTTGTTCATTAATCTGTTGTGGTTCATTATTAATTAATTCATCGAGTCCCAAACCGTGTAAATCAAGACCTTTATGTAAACGTTTATCAACATCCTCGAATAAATGTATTCGATTTAGAACAGCCGTTATTTGTGCTAACAATTGATCACTTGACTCTGTCTGTTGAGTATGACATTCATCAATTAATGTTTCTAAAATACCTAATAATTCATTTGTATTTTTTGCACTTGCAAATTGTTGTTCTAAGAATTGAATACATTCAGCTTTAGTCTTAAATTTTTTCTTTTTTTCATGAGGTATATAAATATTTTCTCTTGTACCCCAAGCATTAGCATTTGCTACAAATAAATGATTTTATTAAAGTTACAAAATAAATTATTATTGAATTATTATCCTACCATTAGTTAATGCATATATAATTAATAATATATAACTTGTTGGAATACAAAGGAAAAATAATAAGCATGGTTTGACACAATCTAAAAATAGAACGAACTCTATAAATGTATAATAAATCAAATGTCAAATTTACCTAATTCATATGGATGACATATGGCTGTTAATAAGAATATAATACCCATAAACAGAAGGAAAAAAACGGCCGTTGTTTTCCATGATCCTTCACAAAGTCGTACAATGGTTCCAACAATGACAATCATCATTAATATTGAATAATATGTTCCGAATATCGCTGCACAAATTATTTTTTTCTCTTCATTAATATCATGATAACATATCATTAGAAATAGAACAGCTGGAAAACATGCCAATAAAAATGATGACCAATAATCAATATCTAAAAATACGATTATAATATAGATATAATAAAATTCAGTGAACAAGATAATACATACCAGTTGTAGCATTAAAAGCATCCGCAATAGCAATGGTAATAGTAGCTGGACTCAAAATATATAAGCCAAGATAGAATACATGATATAATACCGATAAAAATGATACACTCTCGTTAATACGAATTGTTCGACGATAATTTTTTAATATTGAAACTGTTGTTCCAAGTGTTGATGGTATCCATCGACGACGTTGATTAAAAACTAAAAATAAATATTATTATTTTATCTTCTTGTCTAGATCATATATTTTAAACGTACACGAAGTGAATGTTTCTGGTGCATGAGTATAACAATCAGCTGCTGCACAATATTCAATTTTATAACCTTGTTCAATCAGTAGTTTACTCAGAAAACGATCTTCACCTTCAAAATATTTAAAAAAGCAAAAAACAGATTTCATTTTTCTATCTCTTTGATTATTATTATATGATGAATACCTAAATCTCGAAGGATAAAATCTTCGGCTGTTTCACATTTTGATGCAAATAATTTCATAACATTATCATCCATTAAGGCGGAAGCACGATAGAGTGCAAAACAACCGGGTGCACACAACACACATCCAAGACTATGTTCAGTCGTTTTTTGTAGCCAATAACACATTGCATACTCCATTTTTTGATACCATATCAGTGGACCTTATAATACAATAAATTAACTTAATAATACACTAGACACATGAACATAAAATATTAGAAAACTATTTACCAGAGCCAATTGGATGGATTCTACTACAAACGGCACCGACTTTTTTATTTTTTTTCATACGATCAACTAGTAGACGAACAGCTTCGGGTGAAAAATCACAATCACCATCCACAGATAGTACAAAAGTATTTTCTGACTAAAATATAATTCTACATTAGAATCATAAGATCAATCATTCTATTTTTACCTCTAATAACAGACGAGGTCCAAGTACATCTTTGTAATAAACATGTAAATCTTCATTTTGATCAAAATGTCTTCGATATAATTTCTTTTTAGGATTTTCTTCAATCAATTTAATCAATGATTGTAAACGTTGTTCACATTGTCCAAGAATTCGAAAACCAAGCAAATAGTACATGTACATTACCATACTCCATCGTTTTTTCTTGCTAACTTTTAATTTATCTTTTAGATGTAAAACTAAAAGATTTCCACCTGGTAAACGCCAGTCTAATCGTCCACCATACGGTGTAGCCGTCTTTATTGGTGGTGCCATTCTCATTCCGTCAACGTCATGAACAATCCTGTAGTAAACAAAAAATACGAATATAATACAGTTGTTTTTTCATCATTCTCAATAAAATGTACCCTGCTGCTTTGTCAATAGCACCAAAAAATTCTTTAACAAAACTATTCATTGTTCGTTGATCTTTTTCATTATTGTTAAATGCATCATCAAAAAAGACGTGAGCTTATTATATCGAAAATAAAAAATTAATGATTAATTTTAACCTATAAATATCAATAAAATAAACTTACCTTCCATTTCATAAAAATCGGGATCAACAACTTGAAATTCATCTCTAGCTTGACGACGTGCACTTTGATCAATATCCATTCTATTTTAAATGTAGAGAACTTTTTTGATAAAAACGTATTTTGAATTTTAAAAGATCTTTCTAACCTCATAACCGACTTCAACATGAGCACCATTTCACTCATACTTTCATGCCAAAGAGTCCCACATAGATATATTTTGGTGTTACTTTCGAGTTTTTCGTCATCAGCTAGAAAAGTACGAATTCAAGAATTAAATAGATAAAAACGATAAAATACTCATCCAATCAGAAAGTGTTTGAGTTTCTAATTCAAATTTTTCATTATTAAATCAAAAACTACACACGTTTTTACTTAGTATCTCCTCTGCTTTGGGAGTTTGAAAGTGAAAAATAATTTAAAACTCAGTTTGGCATGTAACTCAAGTGTCTTTTTCAAAATGGAAGTCATTTTGGCTCTCAAAAGTATATCTGTCGCGATTGACACAGTTTTCAATTTCTATAATAGATAGTATAAAGTATTTTCTTCAAAATGAGATAAATGCTAGGTTAATACTGAAAGCCTTCCAAAAATACGACGGTTTTCGTTCGCTGTAGATATCTCAGAATTGCTTTTTTCTGCCGTGGCTCTTCGTCAGAGTACCGCTTCAATTCCAAGGACTTGACTTTTAAGGTCGACATTTTTACCACAACTAGTACTTTATTTATTAGTTGCAAACATATCAGTTGGTTCTGATTAGACAACCATTTCAATAAACTGTAGTAGAAAAGTGTTTTTTTCACACAGTAGTTTATCATTTGAATGTTTTGCTCCAGAGAAGAATTTTTGAGAACTACAGAAATTGACCCACTATTTGTAGTAAAAATTTCAGACTTAGAGGTCAAGTTCTTATGGTCAAAACTAGATTAAAGTATAATTATCATTATATTCATGGACAAAGACAATCGAGAGCAACAAATTTAACACAGAAATGCTTCTAATATTGATTCTAAATGTTACGCAAAAAACATGTTTTTTTTAAATAAAAGTTTAAATAAGTTGTTTAGATTTTAATGAATTTTTAAGTACAGAAAACCATCAATGTAGGGCTTGGTCTATGGTCGACCTCATCGCGTATGCAAGGATTCAAGAAAAATACGTTTTCTAACAAGTCTCTATTTGGCAAAGATTTCGTCGTCAAACACATAGTACTTAAGCTTTGGAAGCATTTCTATGTTTCTACTCTACTGTTCATTCTCTTTGCTCATGAAATTAATGAGAATCACATTGGTATGAACACGTATAACATACTTTATCCGAATTCGAGTTCATTAAAGTGTAACTAGTCGAAACGGACAACGACCCATTTCTCGCTGTGATGACCTCTAGAAAACCTAAACTATAGAAGATGGAAGCACACTTCTAACAGAACTTTTACATAACTAAATGAAATCTATGTGTTCTGAAAACTCGCTGCGCTTCGATAAATCATTCTTCATCAGAAACTTGGTGAAAAGGAGATGCGGATATGATTATAAGTTGTAAACTTGAGATATAGATGTTGAGTTCAGATTCAATTACAATGAAATACATTCACATAGTTTAAAGAGAAATAATAACATTTCTATCACTTTTTCAGGGTAATTTTGAATGTATTGCACGTTATTGAGACAGTCTTTAGATCTATTCTGGTCTAAAGTGCGATGGTGGCCGATGCGCCCTTTTAGTCTGTGTGTTCATATCTTATGTCACTTATATGAGTGACTCTTCTTTATGTAAAGTGATTTACGATGGTTACAAAATAAAATCGGTGACTATAATCTTTCTCTTCTCTCTTCTCATGTATTATTTACCCAGACACAAAACGCCACAACAGCAAAAGGCCAGGTATGATAAATATGTGAAACATACTAGATAAACAAAACTTTTTTTTTATCATGATTATTGATGTCAGAAGTAACATAAATGTAAATAAATTTCAAATGAAATTACATCCTTTGTTTCACTAACCAAACGTGTTCGGTAACTATAGACTAGGGCATAGAAAAGAGAACTTACTTACAAAAGGATGTTAAACCATCAATAATATCTAAATCTTCAAAATGTTCTTCAAGTTTATTTTTTCGATGTTCTGGTTCATTTCGTCGCCGATTTAATAATAGAGATTGCTCAATAAGAGCACTGCAATATTGTGGAAGAACAAACAGTCTAAAGTAGAATAAGCATACGTCAAGCTATTGAGGTTCTTTGAAAACGTATTGTTAAAAACTACTTACGTTTCAGTTGTTGCCAAACGCTTATTTTCTGGAAACCAAATATGTGCTGTTATCCACAATTCTGATAACCACCACAGACCCATTCCGATTAAAATGTGCCACGTTATTCGTTGAAAATTTAAGCTTTCACTACATTCCCAATACATTACTTCTTTAATAAATATGACTTGATCACTTTTCCATTGACATAAACCAATGAAAATGCCTAATGTCACCGGAGTGGCAAGTGTTAACGGTACAGAAAATGCTACACGTTGCATTTGCATTTTACATGCTGATTTTGCAAAATAATAACATAATCCCGTTGAAAAAAAATGAATTAACATGGGTAAAAATGGACCGATAGATCTCCAATAGTCATCAGCTGTTTTCTCCTACAATTAAATGTCAGTAGAATACAGTTTTATAGTCAAATTGTACGCCATTTAACTTACAGCAGCCGGTATGATATCCCATGGACTTATTGTCGCATGTTCATCATCTGCAAATGGCATTTCGGGTGGTAGACCGCCAATTTTTGCCGAAATATTCAGCATATCTTCAGGTAAATTATCATTTTGAATTTGTCGTTTCTTTTTCTTTGGCGGTGCTGCACTTGCCCATTCTGGGCTATCAAACATGTTAGGTTGACTATCAAAATTATTTAAATCTGTTGCTGTTCCTACACCAGCAAGTCCCGGTGACATATCGTCTAAATTTGATGGTCTTACGGTTGCTACATATGACACAAATACATTATCGAAACGTTCCCGTGGCAATAGTAAAAAACTGAATGATGCCGTCAATGCAATTTTCCATATTGAGGCACCAATATTCGCTTTAGATCGGACCGATTGTAAATGACGTTTGTAAGTGCCAAGTGGAAAATTTAACTTTCCCAAACGTATATCACGGTCAACATAGTTTTCCCACCAGACAATTGACACACAGAATAGAGCAATTGGGGCTTCCCATCCGAAGCGTAGCCGGGGTTTTTCAGCATCTTGTCCAAGACCTGTTGCTATCTGACGTCCCATGTCGTAATTATTAAATGGATCATTAACATCATTTGATACTTGTTGAGCGCCAATAGGAGAAGACGGTGTTGTTGTTTTTGATAAAAATGGTGTATACTGTGTGCTTGTAACAATAAAATAAACAGAACATTGAGCAGCAAATGCAGCCAAATCAATAAATAGCATAAGAAATCGTAGAACAGGCCGAGTATTACTCTTCGACAATGTTAATTTACAAAAACTAGGTATCGTGCATACGGCATTCATCAGTAATAAACTTCGAATAACGTCACAACTTGGTAAAACACGAAACACAAGCAAACAGAGACCGAACGTATGAATGCTTTCAAGAACAAATATCTAAATGAAATATTAATTGAAATAGTGTGAAATATTAGTAAATTTCATGACTACTTACTGTCAATAGATCAGTTAATGCCGGTCCTCGTTTATTACGAAATAAACTTTTGGCTAATGATTCAAGAAACAAAAATACATATGGTACACAGACAACGGCCACCAACATGACTGACCATCGACTAGCATATTGCTTTTCCTACAAAAAATTAGATATGCTTTGAGGAGAAATGACAAATCGATCAGTATACTTACTTGAAAACGATTTCCTAAACTTTGTGTCATTAAAAGAAATGAACCTTTACTGGCCACAGCAAATATCAAAACACCAATAAAATAGAATACGTAGGCGACACATTTAAACAATCGTTTTGCATTACGCATACAAAGTGATGTTTTTCCATATCTATCAGCCGGTGACTCGAGTACACCCGAATCAACACCGTAAACCATGATGACAATATGTCTGTCTAGTTGAATGAAAGAATTTGTAATAAAAAATTTATTCTGATAATATCTGACATCTCAAATTAAAACTCGACTAATTGAAGAAATATTGTGTTAAAAGACGTTAGACATGAATGAGTAGCAAGTAAAAATTTTATATGCTCAAATTGTTGTAAGATAATAATAAATATTCAATACAAACGTTATATCAACAACTGGATAGAGAAATGAGATCTTGATTTCGTTTTTTTTTCAAAAATTCGTTTCTAGCCCTAAAAGAACGCATAGTAGAATGGTATACTCTTTTTTTCGAAAGTGAGACTCTCTTACCACTATCCGAACATTTCTCGTCTCTGAATGATAAGTAAATTTTGAATGAGTAAATATTATTTTTTTAGTTGATAACGTGAAGCGAACAGTAGAAAATATGAGAAAAATCAACGCATAAAGTTGGATAAGGAAAAGTGTCGATATATAATTAGTCAAACAAATAAAAAATCAATTTCAGCGAACAAAAAACAAAGGTAGGAGAGAGTAGTGTGAAATCAATTTTCGACCATCTTCTGTTTTCTTCTTCTCTCTGTTACATAATAAGCGTATTGAAAAAGAAAAGGTTGTTGGATTAACTGAACATACGTAAAACAAAAAAATTTGTTCATTCATTCATTCATTCATTGTTTCATATACATATCTATACATATATAGAAAGAGAAAGCGAAAAATGAAATAACGAAGATGAAATCCATTTGTAAACAATTCATGAACACTACGCGATTTTTAGGAATTTCTTTTTCTTTCTTATTTTTTTGTTTTATTCTTCTGTTGATGAGGTTTACTAAACTTTAGATAAATTGTTTTCTCTCATCGATCTATACTCATTAGTTATTGAAAGAGACAACCGGATGTATGATGGATGCTCCACCCATTATATTAAATGTTGATTTTGGAGACAAAACGTTTACCTAAAGAAGAAGAAACAACATGAACAAATTAAAATGAGACTATCAATTAAAATTGATGAGTCTTATCATTTCAATATTGATATCATAAAGTCGATATTTTTGACATGTTACATAATTAATGAGATTCCATAGAACATTTGAAATGGTTTATAGATACTCTCTACAAGATAAACATGCATTTTATATTGATCATGAAGACACATATTCATTTGCATTACAAATAATATCTTTTTTCTTATCAAATGATGTATCGTATTTGCAAAGAATTTGATAAAAGTCGTTATAATGTATCCTAAAATCTCATTTGGACTCGGTTTGTTCATTGTAAAAGAAAAAGGATCACGATTATTTTCATAGTGCATTAATGCACTCTAATTTAGAGATTGAATTAAGAATTATTAGTCACAAATAATCGAAATAAAAATAACATTGATGTGGAAATTATTTAAGTTTTTATTGACTAAAAACAGGAGCTAAAAATAAATCAAAAATTATACAAAAATGTAAGCATCAATATTCGTGACTAAAGTTGATTTAGCTTTTGAAGAACACGCGCATATTGTGGCACACAGAAAATAAATGCATCCCAAGAGTGTAAGTGATAATTCTATTTTTTTAACGATGTCTCTCATTAAGGTGAGAGTCTTTTTCTCTTTATTTATTTTATAATTTAACCAATTTATTTCTGTTTTTTTTGTTTTCTTCTCGCGTTTATTATCTATAAACAACATCAAAATATAAATTCTTGAATCATTGTCTTTTAGTTATGAGTTTTTTTTATTTTTTTTTTGTTTTGTTTTCTAATATTTTAGTACGTGTATTATATATTTTTTTGTTTTTCTCTTTCATCTTTATTAGACAAATACTAGACCAACAGATAAAAAAAAAAGACGAGATCTTGTTGGATTTTGTGAACAAGAGATTCACTCACTCATTCACTCCCTTGTGTAGTTATACTTGATGTGATCCTATATTTTTTTGTATGCACATTGCGTGTCACATTTATTTTCTATACACTATAATTTACAAAGCAAATGTTAGCAGTCTTTCTTTGCTACATTGACTAAAAATAAAAAATAAAACAAATCTGTTTGAAGTAAGACATTTTTTTGAAAAGAATATGATAAAACAATTGACAAAAAGAAGAGAAAATGGAAAATTATTTATTTTTGAAAAGAATTTTTAATATACATTCATTAATTAATCTAGTTAAGAGTATTATAAAAAGAAGTGAAGATTTTGTCTCAATTAAGTGTTAAAACACAATAACGATGTCAAATATTTGATGGAAACATTATATTCTATCTTTGTGATTTACTGTTAAATTGACAAGAAGATCTAGAATCCATCTGTGATGTGTGTATAAAAAAAATTTGCTTCAAAACATTTTTTGAACATGATTTTTAAAAAAATTGATAAATTGACTGATAAATATCATTTTTATTCTGACTAGATTAACTTTGACCTATTTTATCTCATATCAATAAGAATGTCATTGTATATAGTTGCATAGTTAAATATAACTCGATTAAAGCATATCTAGATATAATTATTTTAAAAAAAATAAAAAAGAAGAAAAATAACTGGAATGTGTCAATCATAATCAGTTAAGAAAACAATAGAGATAGAGCATATGTTACAATAAACTAACAAAAAAGTAAATACGTCATCAATAATAAAAATTATCAAAAAAATGTAAAATACGCTAAAAAAAAAAAAAAGTTTGAAAATATAGACAAAAGTAATAAATCTGTCAGAATTGAATATTAAAATGAAGCGTAATTTTCTATTTTCATTAATAAATTATAACTGTCAAAGTAATCGAATTTGGATTACAGAATAATAGACGATGAGAATTTTTAGTCATCTAATACAGCTAAATATATAACTTATCTACTATGATAATAAACAAGTTGATTATAAATTTTGACATAAAATATTTTGTAGTTCTAGACTGATGCGTAAAACATATCATATTTATATAAAAATATCACATTTAAAATATTCGCATTAGACGATTTTCTATTTTTAAAGTTCTTCACAGTCTCATGCAAGAATTTTTAAACATGCAATAATAAATTTTATAATTAACGTATATTTATTTTATCAATAATTTTTTTAACCTATTTCAAATAAGTGTAAGTATTTTTTTATTATTGTTTTTCGATTTAATTCTTCTATATGATGTTTCTAGATATGAGTTCATAAAATAATTAATAACTCATTGACACGTGTATTACTATAATGAAATATGACACTAATGTGTCAGTAGACTGGTATTGAATTGGAAACTTAGTTAAGAATCTATGAAGAATTTTTTCAATAAATAAGACATCAAACTTTTCGCTATCACTGGTACAAATTGACTGTCAGACAAGCTAATTTAATTTACGCTCAACTTTTGATTTTAGATTACGTTTTAACGGTTGTATATGTGAAAAAACAATTTTTTTTATCATTTGTTCCACTATATAGTCAATTTTCTCGTAGAAAACATGAAAAAAGTTGATATTTTTTTCAATTTTTTAAATATCACTAACATTTTATATGATGGCTATTATTAACTAATCGATAGAACGTCATTGTATGTGTTGTGCTAAAATACATAAATATTTTCTTTTGTTTTACCGTGATATAAAGGAAATTTATTTTTGAAAAATTTATAAAAAATGAAAAGAAATTCTTTTCTACATGCTAATGATTATGTGTCCTCTGGAAAATTTCTCCATCTTCACTACATATATCAGTTTTTCAACTAAAACATGTCCTTTTTTTTCTCTATCTACAAAAAAAACGTTTTTTTACGTTCTCTCGTTTTGTTCTTTCGCGTTTGATATAATGAAAAACCAAAATTTTCTTTTTTCTTTTTTTTCTTCGGATTTTCTTTTTGTAGATCCGAATATTGCTCGAATAGAGAACCTATGCTTTTAGATTGAACGTGTTTTCTTATTTTTTTGTTCTACTATATGGTTTCGAAATTCTATCATCTGAAAAATTTCGATTTTACGCATTTACGCGTAATTTTTTTGCCTGTTGTCGTATATTACATAAATATGAACTCACGCTCACGCACACCTTCCTCTAGTTGTTCGTTCAAAATGTAGTAATGAGAATAAAAGAGAGAATAACAAACCTTCGTTCTATCTATAAATAACAGAAATGACACCAACAATAATCATAGTAACAATGTTATATTGAAAAGGGTCTAGTCTTTGTATCTGATATAATTTCAATCAATTTTTTCAGATTGTCTATACATAACGTCGTTATATACTAAAATTTATTATTTTATTTCAAATGTAAAATACGTAAAATTCTATGTTTTCTTACATATGGAATCCGGTAATATATGATCCAAAACTATTAGAAGATGCAAAGGTACGTGGGAATTTAAAGCATACTTTATTTTTTACCCTGTCTCACAACTATAGCTCGAGGTCAGATGAAGATTTTAGTCTACAATTTAAAAACGCATAAAATACAAACTTTGTCACAGGGACTTCTCTATCAACGCTTCGTTCGATCAATATGGTTCCTTTGAACTTTATGTTTGTTATAAATTTAGAATGTAGATGTTCCCTTTCTGTAGACGAAATTTTATCTGAGCGATAGTTCGGAAGTTATATTGCTTTTTCCCAGCATAGTTGTTATTCTATTTATGAGTTGAGTTATAGGCAATTCTTTATAGACGATGTGCGTTATGGTATGTGAGTCACGATTAAGTGTATTGCATATGTCAAAGTACATTATTATAAAAACATTTCAGTACAGAGACACAGAACGTTTTATTAACTCGCTAATATCCTATCAGCTCATTTCTTCAACGTTTGCACTTTAGTTCAGTTTTGCATAATATTCCGTTTGTTTAGCTCTACTAATTGTTAAAAATATCGTTCTTCACTAATTACATTTGTTTGTGTAGAATACTAGCTAGTTCGTTCGAAAACTACTAGGAATCCGAACTTATCTATCTCAGTACCTTCTACTAAGACATTCTATCATTACAGCGAGACAGGGACGGATCTACTTAGATCTTGTTATTTA